TTTTCCCCCCCCCCCCCCCCCCCCACCACCACCACCCTCACCACAACCATAGTAACGTGTCCTCTTGTCCGAATAGTACTGTGCTTACTCTTTGCTACTAGCAAACGGACTTACGAGCGAGTAGTAGGAAGGAAGAAGAAGGTAAAGGAAAGTAATATTATGGTACTAAATAAGTAAAGTTTTCTTCATTTGTCATATTTCCTTTCCTTCGAGCTTTGTGAGTCAATTGGAATTCTCTTTGAATCTTCCTTGAATTCGCGAGTACAATCATTCTGTGGATATCTTTATCCATATTTGAAAACAGATTTATTAAGCTACCGTGTCTCTTTTAAGCGCTCACAATTAACTTCCTGATGCCACCCTGTGTGCTATTCCCTGCTTGATGCTTCACTTCAAGCAGACATTTCTTCTGTGTCTGCGCCTTTTGGTCGTCTGCTAGGATGGAAAGTATGCTTTGCATGATGAGTCATATTTCGCGCCAACCCGAAGTGTTTTGGCCTTTGAGATAGCAAGTAGCTCTTTGATGCTATGTCGGGCCTTATTTGGCCATGTTGGAAGGTATCTCTGTTGATAAGAATCATTAGTACTTCAGTGGACTCGAGTGGAGATGGAAAGATGTGGTGACAAAAAAGAAAAGAAAGCAAAAGGAATTTCCTTTCAACTAACTATTTACATCAAGCATTGAGAGCTGAAGCACACCGTAGTGCAACCCTAATCTCCAAAGGTGAGTAGGCAGACAAATTTCATTCGACAAAATTGTTTTAATCCCACTTCATTTAAATTATTGTCATTTTGTGTTGATTTATCAAACAAAGCAGCCATTTTGCATTGTGGACACGAGATAGTTTGCGAGGGATCTGGCATTTAGAAAGATTACGAGTTGATTATATGCACTGGGCACGGGAAGAATTATGAAGGAGAAAGGAAGGTGGTGGAAATCCCGCCACCCCGTCGTTGTCTCACTCAAGCGTCACGAGGCATTGTAGGTGGACAAAGTTGTGGTCTCTTATTACGCGGTTGGGCGATTTAATAAAATAGGTGTAAAGCTATGGCTTTGAAGCGACTGGTCAGTACTCTATTTTGATTTTGTTTTGACTTCGTGTCCTCTCTCTCTCTCTCTCTCTCCCAATTTAATTACATTCTCAATCAATTTCCTTAATATTTATTTATTTCGAATGGCAGGCGTTTTGACAGTTATCATTAGCCCTTTAGCTGACTTCGGGCTTCACAAATGGGAAGAAAATCAAAGTCACAAAAAGTGGAGTAGGGGAACAGAAGAGTGATTTACAGATGTAAAGAAACAGAGGGACACAGGCAGAGAAAAGGTGATGCGAGTACTGTGATAGGGGTCGAATATGGCATACAGTGGGGTCATAGTAGTTGGTTGATAGACTTTTTTGTCGTATGAGTATACGTTACCCAGGGTGTACAACGTGGAGGTAAGTCTATCGCACACCCCTCTCTCCTTCAAATAACCCCATGGTAGTGGTGTTGTTTAGGAGCATTTGTTTGCTAGCGCCATGCTACTCCGCCAAGCTTGTATTTATTGGCTGTAGGCATGAGAGCTCTTCTTCCAGATATAGGCTGGTCAATGTTGTTCCTTTGCTAAATTGATAAATTTCATCCAGGAGGACGTCACCATAAATGGTGTAAGTCACTCCTTCTTTGTCTAGAAGTCGCTAATTTAAATTATATGTGTATAACTCTATTTTTAAGGCACTGTAGTCATCAATAACTGAGATAAGGGCAATTATAGCACTTAATTGAAGAGCAGTGTCGTTGTTTGGGCTTTTAAAACTCGTGCCTAATGAAATGCCACGTTATTAAAATGTCGTTCGCAGTGTTAGCGCTCAATTTAAAGTAAACCTTTTCAAGGAATTATGCAATTAGGCTACAGCACATTCCTCTGAGCCGAGTTTTGAAGTTTAGCCGTGGACCAGATTGTTCAACTCTTTTTTCCCCCCAATCAATAGCTTTGTATCTGCATACTGAGTTTATTGTTATCCTAAGAAATGCACATCAATTGACATTGAATCTCAGCAAGTTAAATAAATGATAATGTGGGAGGGGGGAGGTCCTGGAAGGTTCTTGAAGGCACAGAGGACAACGTTGGGTATTTGATTTTTGGACTGGGTTGTACCATTTTGAGTAAATGTACAGTTCATGTTTAGGAGTCGTTCTCTCGATTGCATAAAATTCTTGTATACATTATTTGATGTTAATTAAAGAGTATGGTTTGGTCAAGAGGGGGGGGGGGTGGTTTGCCTCCTCAATTCTAATACTCTTCCAAATGCTTAGTAGCCAATGTGGTCTTTAGATTCCCAGTTCTGCAATCCTGGTGTCAAAATCGTCCCCCAGCACCTGCGGTCGGTTGATTCTATTTTGCGGCTGGTCATACCACCTCGATTGCTTGTTTTGTACTTTCTCTAAGACGAAGAGTAGCAAAAATGTATTTAACGTGTGTGTGGCACAGCTTATTTTATATATTTCGTACACGCCCTGAATTTTCTTTCTTTCCACTTTTTTGTCAATTTGTAGAAAGAATCTGCAGTGAACGAGCGTTGTGCATCTAGTCGCACATTCCTACGCGCAGTGGGTGATCTTATCGTGATGCTCCATCCTCTTGCTCCCATGTTTTCCTGTGAGCTTTGGAGTGGTTTTTCTCGGGCTCTTAGAGCCGCTCCTGGTGAGAATTTAGAATTCCTCTCGGAGGCATCGCAGTGGCGATATGATCTCGTAAGTTGCGCTATACAAGTTAATTATATAGCGTTGTGATGATTGATTTGGCGTGGGATAGTTCTACTCCCTTTCTAAATTAAAGTTTGCCCCAGCTGAAATTTCCCACTTGCGAATTGGGTCTTTATCATAGGGATCTTTATAGCCATTGTACATGCGCTACTTCCCAAATCGTGTAGGTTGTTGTTACTACTTATTTGATTTGAACAATTTTTGCCGTTTATTTTGACAGTAGTTGAATGCTAAATTGGTTTAAAGATGAATCACCTACGGCGTTTTGCTAACCACGAGAGTTCATGCACGCCTTTTGTTCATGTGCGTTGTCTGAATAAACCTTTTCTCCCTCTCTCCCCTAGGAATACCCTTTTGCTAAAATGCATATTTGAATTGGCGGTTGCGTTTAATGGTTTTGAGATCTGGTCGCTTTTATTGGCAAATTATTGCCGGGAGAGGATGGAGTATTTAGAAACCTTTCCACCTATCGAACCCATCATCACACTAGCGCTTCGATTATAGGAATTAACGCAGTAACAAAAAATGATCGAATGACTCAGTAATACACTGATGTAGCTGTCTCCATGGTTGCAGGCATCAGGAAGGTATCCTAGTGAGATAGTCGTGCACTTTCTTCATCAAAAGAAAGTTCTCATTATGTGGCAACAATAAAGCAAAAATCCACTCCATTGTTGGCCGAAATAGCTGCATCATCTCACGGGACCATGAAAATGATTTAGGCAAGAATTCGCATGGGTTTGAGCAATACAGAAATCAAAACGGACTCGACGCACTGGATACTATAGGTGCCGCAGGTAGAAAGTGAGTAAGGAGATTGTGGATAATCCATCACCATTTTGGGCTTTTACACGATTGTCTTATTTCCGATTAAATTTGGTTAGTCATGAAGGCAACTATTTTGGAGCATTACTTCGCTCATATTCGATGAAGGGCTTTTTAACTCTGTTTTTTTTTGTTGGGTGAATGCCATACACTCTTTCCTTTGTATTGATTTTGCGTGGAATGCAGCACTTTTTGTGAATATTTATTTATATCAAATGGCAGGCGTTTTGATAGTCATCATTAGCCCTGCAGTTGACTTCAGGCTTCACAGAGGGAAGGAGGAACATCAAAGTGAGAAATAGCGGAGAGGGTGGGCATTTGAGTGATTCAAAGGCGTAAAAGGGACAGACAGACACAAAGTCAGAGAAAAGGTAAGATGAGTACTGCGGAAGTATTCGAATAAGACATACAGTGGGGTGATGTAGTTTGAAGTGAGAAGTCAACTGCCGGTTAATAGACTATTGCCGTATGGGTATACGTTGCCCAGGGTGCACTACATGGAGGTAAGTCTATCCCACACCCCCTTTTTGTGAATATTAATTGGAAGTAAACTGGTTCTACTTCAATTTCAGACCAAGCATGTGATGGAACAGAGATTTCCTGAAAGAGTCAATTGATGGAGCAAAATACTCGGAAATTGCATCCAATTGGTCTACTGTCTCTTGTATAGTTTTGTAGAATATAGATAAATGATATTTGCCAATTTGTTGTTGTATTTATAACAAGGGTCGGGCAGTCGTTGTGTATTTTCTTTTTAATTGAAACAAAATATCTTGTTTATTTTGTTAATCTGTATGAAGGATGATTCTTAAGGCATTTTCCAAAATCACTCCTTATTTTCGCATTTTTTTTAATGAAAATACCTTGATTGTTCGTATCGTTGCCTATGACTTAAACTCCTACCTGCCCTGTCTGGACTAGTTTATCAACTCTCTGAAGGGGGAGCACTGCACTAATACACCTCAGCGTGTCCTAACCCAAGTGACACAACATATGAACTACCTTTGTAGTTCCACTCGCATGTACACGTTTGTCAATTATCTGCTTGTACACTACTTCTCCCCACCCCTCCTCCCCCACCCTCTCCCTTTCCCACCCTCTCCCACATCTGCATTGTGATTTATTCAATATATTTCGAACTTCACAACTCTTTATGTTCTACTTTTTGGAAATGTTGATAGCTGCAAACCATGGTCTTAGTTCTTTTTTTTTGCGGTCTGATTCTGGTTCACTAGTTCTCACAATTCTCTCCTCTCTACCCTATGTATTCGCTTTCTCGTGCAGTAATAACTAACTTGTGAAAAGACCAAAAAGATCAGGTAAGCAGGAATGTTTGCTTGGTTGAGAATTGCCTTAAAGGAGTTTAAATACGCACTTTTCCTATTTCTAATTTTTTGAGTGTATGCCATAGGAGTATTTTGCTAAGGTACCTTTTGTTCAAATATACTCGAGTTGTAATTGTTTTTTCCAGGAATCATGTTTCCCTTAACTCGAGTCCCTTATTATAGCCTTTTAGTTCAAACCCAAAGTCCTCCTTAGTTGGAAATAGACCGAGGTTACAGGTGTTTCAGGTTAAGAGTTGTAGGATTCTATTCTTTACGACCATGAAAGTGTCTCATTTTTGATTTAGAAGGTGACTTATTGCAGTTAATTATTATTGAGAATAAATTTGTAAAGACATTCTTTATTCATTTCACTGTTATTACTGATTAAATTAGCTTTTCTGACTTTCTCATCTAAATTTTGAAAATCTTATCGATTAATAGGCAGTTCTGCTGAATATCGATTTTTAAAAAAAATGAAGTTTACTACGGTTATCTGAAGAGCAACTAATTTATTTAAAATTTTCGTTGTGCAAAATAAATTAGATAGATCTATTTTTGCAAGTCGGTTTAGTAATTCTGCTTTTTTTTACTTATTTATTATTTTCATATTAACAAAATTTAAAAATGCTTATCCAAAAAGTTTTTTTGCTTAAAATTGCGTTTTAGTTGTTTGAATGTGTAATTGTTGTTTAAAGTTTATTTTCTCTGTAATTATCCCTTCAGAATTGGTGTGAATATTTGAAAATTTCATAATTATTGTGTAGGAAGGTTTGAATTTCCAACAAAATAGTTACAACTTTTATCACCCATTTTCAAGCTACATTAGCAGATAAACAAACATTTTTAAAAAGAGATTATGGCAGTTAAGTAAATAACTTTCCCAGGAATGAGAAAATTACAAGGCATTTAACTGAAATATATTATATATCAAAATGCATTATGGAAAATATTTCCCCCCCTAGTCATTGTAATGTTTTACCATTTTAAATTTAATTTCGCCTGTGATTGGCTGAAAGCATAGAATGACTAAATGAACTTATTTGCTATTAAACAGCTTACATTATCTTAATGCATAAGTGAATTATAAATATTCTTTTAAAAATTGGCGGGAAGCATAAAGTAGAGTCAACTGGATTAATTTTTTATTTGAAAGATTAAATATAAAAATCTGGTATTTTTGGCATGCCCAGTCAAATCTTATCTTGCCTACATATCTGCGTCAACATGGCCTAATTGCCGGCATAAACGTCACTTTTAAACCTGTTAAGAGTACCTATAATCATGCTCTAATATCCAAAGTCTAAACGCTAGAACAATCTTCAGACTGAAATAAATTGATTTATTAATGTAATTATTCACCACTTGAGAAATAATCTTTTAAAAATCATAAATATTTTCTAAATCGCGCTGATTGTTTATACCCCTTAGGCTAGTACTAAATTCTGTAATTCGTGTGGTTATTAACCGTAGCAACAAAAATTACAACTTCAGTTATGGAAAGCAATCGGAATTCGTTAACAGAAAGTCCAAAAAGGATAAATGGGAGGTTTTCAAAAATATGCTGAGAGAAACGTCGAGGTGTCAAAAAATTTTGCTTTTTTGATATTTTGATTCGGACTTTACAGTATTTACTAAATAGAAGGCTCACGTTTCAAAATTTCAGTTTTATGCTCTATACATTAGATTGTTTACGATGTGCACGCCTTATTGGTCAGTTTTTACTCATGGTGATTGGTCCTTTCATTGCAATTCATTTTTTATTTCAATGATTGTGATTACAAAATAATTTTCCCTAATACTTTCCAGATTATGCTTTTATTATTGCAGAGATGAGACAGGTACAAACTTTAGGCTGGCAGAGTTCTGTAGTTTGTGCTCATTCAAGGTGAACTTTATGTCATATTTATTTCAAATGGCGGGCATTTTGATAGTTATCATTAGCCCTTTAGTTGACTTCGGGCTTCACAGAGGGAAGGAGCATCAAAGTGAGAAGAATTCGACAGGGAAAAAGAAGAGCGATTCACAGATGTAAAAGACAGACAGACACAAGGGCAGAGAAAAGGTGAGTTGAGTACTGTGAAGGGGTCGAACATGACATACAGTAGGGTCATGGTAGTTTGAAGTCAGAGGCCAACTACCGATTTATAGACTTTTTTGCCGTATGAGTATACGTTGCCCAGGGTGCACCACGTGGAGGTAAGTCTATTGCACACCCCACTTTATGTCATAAAATATCCTTTAAGGAAGGAATTAAT